GAAGGACTCCTGAAGGACGCCTTCGATGAAGACACACTTACACAGGTTCGTATGCGTCCCACCCGCTCACATGTCTGGGTAAAAACACATCTGGGAGGGTGGGGGGGGGGTGTTAGTCGCGTGTGGATGGAGCTATGGATTTAATGCAACACTTTTGCAACGGTATTGCTTGAGCTGAACTGGGAAATTAACGAGCTTTAGGGTTTGTTGTTAATCGGTTTCTTGTATTTACTCGACTCTATTGGCTCCAAAGAACGATCAACTTGGTATTCCGCACGTAGTGATTGAACTAGGATCTGAGTATATCTTCTATAAGTAGAAGTAATATAATATGGTTTCTCTTTGGTTTTTTAGCAGTTTTATAATATTTCCATAAATTTCTGGAATCTCTATCACAAAATTGAAGGTGATGAAATTTTAGCTGAGCAGCCTGATCGCTTCCGGTCGAGGCGTTCGAATGGACGAAACTCCCGCTTTCAATATGCGACTTATCGCTGAGGTGAGCTATTTAAAAAGGGATATTCACTTCGAAAATTTGAAGTAATGGAGCGTTTTTGGAAAGCTTCGTGTTTTTGCAGAATTTTCTTAAGAGGATATAAAAAAAAAAAAACGAAAAAATCGAAAATTTCATGAAAATGGAAAATTGCGAATAGCCATAATAATACTATATAACAAATGATAATGGGGCGGAAGTGGTTTAGTGGGAAGCAGCACGCCCACCACGGAGCGGGTTCGGGGATCAAATGAAGTGCTAGGAGGACGGGTAAGTAAGCAGTCAGATAGGTAGACAGGCTGGCAATAAAAAAATTGGAAATATAAAAAATAAAAATAATTAAAAATAAAATAATTAAAGAATGGTAAAAGGGATATTCATAGAATCCGAAAAGGCACATATAAAATGAAAAAGAGGGCGTATGCGAGAAAATTAAGCATGCAGAATAATCAGACTAGGTTTGGACGTCGTTCTGAGGATTACGTAACTGTTTCAAGTATGATGGGTGGGTATATTTCTATTTTCTATTCTATTTTTTCTATCAAAGGGCCGAAATGTGTAGTGACCAGTGGCGCTCACCTTCGCGAAGCCCGGTCGCGGGGATCAATCTGGGTGGTGGGTTGCAGTCGATGGCTTCCATTCCTCGGGTCGTTCTTGGTAGCAGACTTGTCTGGGAGGATAAAAACACTGACTTGTACATCGGCTGGCCCCGCAAGTCATTGTATAGGCCACATCGCATTCAAACGCCACTACGAATGTACAAATGGAAGTAGAATGCGTGCCGCATCCCAAAAGGGATTGATCAACCAGGCGAATGCTTCATTCTTTTCCTTAAACAAGTGATAATAACTACAAATAATCTGACAGATGTAGTTATCAGGCTACTGTATAGCTTTAGGCTCACTACGAATTAATCGCATTAGTCTTTTTGAAAACAAAGAGTAATACATAATTTCGTAAAATTATGTGCTATGGTAGTCTCTCTTGGAATTTTTCGTTCATAATAATTATCTTAATTATAATTAATTACCTTGATTCCGCATTTTTTACTTTCAAGCCTTTTTTAGATTTTAACCCTAATTAATCAATTGTTATTCCATTACATTGAGACGAACTGATCAGGTCAAAATCTTATCGAATCCTGTTACAGAAGCGGAAGTAAAAACAGCATACACATAAATAAAAATATAAATGCACATGACAAAAATTATAGATGCGAATATAATAAAAATAAACTGCTATAAAATCATTAGTATCAGAATGCTAATGCAGCGCAGTTCTTAACAGCTTCTTGTTTGTTATGCTATTTCGATACTCATGTCTATTTCTCCATCTTTCTTTTTCGTTATTTTTTCCGTATGTTAATTTTTCCGCGGCTCTGTTTTGTTTCACTGTTGTTCTTTTTCCGTCTCTTACAATCATTTTCTTGCGTTCATACTTTACATTGAATGCACGCGGCCTTTTTTGCCGCGGGGTCTCCGGATTCTGTCGACTGTGGGGTAGGCGTTTTGTTGCTCTGTGTTTTGTTGTGCTGTATTGGAGCTGTCACACATCCGCACTATCACAAAATGCCTGCTTCTTATCATTTCCTTCGAAAGGTCTAATCATAGTACGACACAGAGAACCCGATTTCCCTTCTACACTCACAACCTGGTTGACAGAAGTCTTGTTACCTTTTGGCACCTGTTCATCGTTCTCTATGATTTTTTCCTTTGTTTGGGATTTTCGTAGATGCTTAAATAGGCCCTACAAGTGACTCTTAATCCTTGCAGCCGCCACCCGAACGCTAGCAGTGGGTTGCTCGGCCCTGGCTGACGTGTGCGTTTACTCAGCTGGCATGGCCTCTTGTTCTTGCTTCCTCGCGGTAGTAGAGATTGTATCGTCTCAAGTGTTTTCGTTCGTTTCACTATCATCAATTCTTCATTAACCCATTCGTGACAATGGCAGCCACCGGTGGCTGCCAAAGATCTCACTCGGGCAATGGCATCCACCGTTGGCTACCGCGTTTTCAAATGGGATTTGGAACATTTTCTTCCATGAAAATAATCTTCATACCCTCATTCATCTACGCCAGCCCTGGGCAGAGGAAATCTCCGTCACTCAAATTTTATTGAACAAAAATCCTGACTGTACTGCTATTGCGCAATCCCTGCGCGGTCGCGAATGGGTTAAAAAGGATGTAGCCGTAAGGTATGCTTGCCCGAATGGTCGAGGGACGAAAATCCCTTTAATTTTTTGTCTTGAACCATCCTGTTTCTTCATTTTAGTGCGTGATTACTTCAATCTAAACACATATAATAATGTAGGCCCTTTATCAGGACAATCCCATTTGGGAAGACAAGAAAATTCAAAGGGATTTTCGTCCCCCAACCATTCGGGGAAGCATACCTTACGGCCCATATGGTGTTTTTTTGAGCTGGGAGGGCAATTAAGCATGCTGAAACGCGCGAACACTAGCCTGCTAAATATAGTCAATTTCCGTGTTGCTTAATGGCGTCCGGCTTTAAAACCAGTGCATAGCTTTACTAAGATAGCGATTTCGTCTTCCCATCATCATTCCTTACCACTCGTTGTCGATGTTAGTCCGCATTAATGTGAATGGGAAGTTGATCTCCTGCATAATCGATCGATATGTTAGCGCTTGCGTCCTCCAACTACCCTAATCTTGCTATAAACTGAATTCATTCTGGGCGCAATAGTCCGAGGGAGTGGCGGTGGGGTGGGAGATTGCAATCAGGTTACTGTCACCATTATCGATGTTCCTGTCGGCTCTAATCGTGCAATCGCAATTTAAAACTATAAATGAACGCGCAATATGGCGATGAGCTGCAGGCTTGAGCGGCGCGTGCAGTTGGAGCTTGACTTAATCGCTTACGTGGGCACGCGTTCTTAGTGGCATCTCTAGATGTGCTCTCTTCTTGTTGGCTCACCTCTGACGCTTTTCGTTGTCTGTAGAGGCATCACATTTGTTTTACTCGTCTCTTCTTACCTTCAATCAAAGGAATCGTCGACGAGAAAACTGTAATTCAATCTCACCCAAAAATCAATGGCTTGAGATCAGGGTGAGTGGCGGTCGAGACCCTCGACCATGGCTGGAGTTTCAAGGGTGAAGCCCGCACGGGAGAGCATGACTGAACGAGTGAAAAGCCTCGGCGAGTCGTTGACAAGTTCTCGACCGATTTTCACCCTGCTTGAGCCCATAATTCGCGAAAAGAACGAAAAAAGAAGAAAAAAATTTACCCCTGTTCAAAAACTAGTCGAATTCGAATTCCCGCCGTACATCTGCTAGAACAGTTGGCCACGGAAACGATCCCACTTGGTTCTCGTAGTGCCATCTCTAATAACTTTTTTTGGCCTTTTTCATCTATGGAATAACATTTCTCTTTTTCATTGCACCCTATTCTTTCGATCGTTTTTCTATTGTGAGAATTCAAACGCTTCGACTCGATCCCTTCCATGCCTCACCTGATAATTTCCACTCGACGCGCACAATTTCCATTCGTTCCCTTGTCTCCGCCCGACCCATACCTGCGACTGTCCCCAGAGTGTGGTTTTTCAAGAGTTCTTTCTTCTTGAGGATGAATCTTCTTGTGTGAATTTTTATACGTTTTCTCTATTTGTCAAAACTGACGTATTCATAATGGGAGAGAATGCAGGAGTCCTCTGATTCATTTGCGTGGGTTTTGGCGTGCGGATTTTAAGTAATGGCAAGCAAAGGATGCTATAAGGAGTTTCACCTTTTCAACAACCTCGGCAGTCTTGCTTCCATAAAAACTAATATATAGAAAAAGCAAAAGGACTTTGTCGTCAAAATACTGCGCTCAACTGCTCAATCCGTTTGGTCAGCAAATACTACGCTCGTGTTAAATGTACAGTATTGCATGTTGATTTGGCGTCTAGTGTGGTAATAAAAAGAGCAGGCGCGGCATCACGGGACCATTCGTGGTGTTGAATTGCTACGGGCTGCATATTCGTTTTTCGTTTCCCGACAATCTTTTATTTCTGAATATTCACCATGACGACTTTGATGAAATACGGTACATTCAAGCGCCAATTTAACCAGTAAGGGGTCTCCCGTCCCCTTGGAACATTCAATTTGGTGATTTGCGCAAACCTATGGGGTCTGGAAATTCCTAGTTATGACAATCTGGAAATTTGAATTATTCTCTAAACTACGATTAATTTTTACCTCATATAGTGTGTAAGGCTTGTGGCAAGTGGCACTGCTTACCATGCGCACATCGGGAGTCAGATCCTGGGCCGCGCGAAGTCCAGGCCAACCTCGCTCTCAATCCATCTAGGGTCGATCAGTCCGTACCAAACTTGACTTAGAAGAGAAAATGGACTGACTTTGACGTCTGCTGGCCTCGCAGGCCACTGTATAGGCCGAGTCCCATTTGAAATATTGCTACTATTCCGAATGCAAGTAGAATGCGTGGCGCATCCCGAAGAAGGGGCAGGTCAACGCATGCCTCATCCCTCGAGTCATGGTACCTATGAAAAGAGAATGGGAGTTCAAAATTTTTCCACAGGTTAGGTGTTTGCAGGTTGGTTTTGATAAGTGAGGTAGCATGGTTTGGCTACTCTTTTATTTATTTTTACCAGTTGGCGCCGCACGCATTGCGCGCGCAACACAGATCTGCGGCGAATTTTGATGGTGCGACGAAAATTTTCAAATTTGGCTTGATACACCACGAATATCTGAATTCTCAGCTAAATTCTATCCGCTCCATCATCGACGGCTTTCAACCTCTTTTTCTTCGTCAACCATTATCCTCTTTTTCCCGGTCTCCGGACTGCTTCCGGACAATAAATCTCGTGGCAAACTCCGCCTACTTCGGTGCGTGCCCCGCCCACCAATAGCATTTGGCCCCCTTCCTTTCGCCGACCTCTACCCCTTTTTTCACCGGTCTCTGGGACCTCTTGGAAGCAGCTGATCTCTTTTCCCTCGCCAACCTCTAACCCCGTTTTCCCTATCTCTAGGACTTGGAGCCGAGTTCTGAATTTTCGTCGCAAACTCCGCCCACTTTGGTCAAGCCCCGCTCACCGGTGATAGCTGGGCTCCACTCCTCCACCCACCTCCATCCACCTTTTTCCCTGCCTCCGGGACTTCTTGGAGCCGAATTACAATTTCGGCGCAAACTCCGCCCACATTAGCGCACGCTCCACCCAACCGTAGCAGTTAACTTCTCTTTCTTTGCTGACCTTAAAGGATAAAGGATAAAGCATTTGCCGTTGATCAATCCCTTTTGGGATGCGGCACGCATTCTACTTCCATTTGTACATTCGTAGTGGCGTTTGAATGCGATGTGGCCTATACAATGACTTGCGGGGGCCAGCCGATGTACAAGTCAGTGTTTTTATCCTCCCAGACAAGTCTGGTACCAATTAACCGACCCCGGAGGGATGGAAGGCTTGGTTGGCCCGGGCGACTCACGACCCAGGATTTGATCCCCGGACCGCTCGCGTGGTAAGCGCGCCACTTGTCACTACACCACTTCCGCCCTTATTTTTGCTTTGCTGACCTATATCCACTTTTTTCCCGTTCTCCAGGACTTCTTGGAACCAAGTTATGAATTTTCCTGGGTAACTCCGCCCACCTAGGACTTGCTCCGCCCACCAATAATATTCTAGCTCTACTACTTCAACCACCCCATGCACCTTTTTCCCGGTCTCCCGGGCTTCTTGGAATCGAGTTATGAATTTTCGTGATAACTCCGCCCACTTTGAACATGCTCCGCCCCTAATGGTATTTAAGCTCCACTCCTCCACCCACCTCTACCACACCTTTTCCGGGCCTCCGCCCACGTCATGTATGCAGGAAACACCTTAGACATTGCTCCCTTACACCAATTGTTTTCTGCTCTGTAGGCTTTCTCCCAACCGAGTTATGAAATTTTTCATAAAGCACTGCTTTTTTAGAGAACGCCCCGCCCACCGGGGGTGGGTCTCCCTAATTCGATGTGACTTACCAATGCACACCTTTACCCACTTTTTGGCCCAGTTTCGAGGTCGTTTTGTCACTGAAATCGAAATCTTGGTCTTCGGTACAGTTCATTTCGACGCACGCCACGCCCTCTGTGGGCGGGGCTCCGCTTAGCTGATGTGTGTTTTGTATTTACGTGACCCGTGTGACAGTCGAAAGCGCTTTATAGTTGTCTAGTAGGATAGCAGCAGAGCTCTTTATAAATCTCCCTTATTAATATCGTTTATTCCGTCATGAGACCCCCCACATTACGGACGCATATGTTCTAATTTTCTTCTGGTTCGAACAAAACTCGGAAATATTATTTCTCCCAAAATCATTACCCCGCACCATCACCTATACTCCCTTCTGCAGCGCATATATGTATTTTGTGCATATTTATATATTTTGTGTTCATATTTATTGTTTATTATGTATCTTATTCCTATATTTTATGTCATTCACTTATTATAGTATTTATATTCGACTGGATTCTATTTATTTATTTACTTTTGTAATTAAATGTGGCGTTCACCCATGAATGAGCAAGTACTCATTTTCAGGTAAAGTCTCGACGCTATCTCTACGATCACACTGATGAAGGATATAACCTTATCCCGTGGCGGAATAATGCATGGGTGGAAATCGCTGAGACGCTTGATTCCTCTCGTAAGTTCTGAATAACGCAGTTCTAAGCTAAAAAATGTAGCTGTTTCCGCACTGATTGAGGGTAAAGAGATGACAGCCGAATATGCAGTCGTCCTTTTTATTTAAAGGCGCTCTCCGGAGCATAAGGAAAGCTGAATACATATCACATGGGATTTTTGGAAAAGGCAAGAGGAATAAATTTTTTTCAGCGGAACACGTGAAAACACGATGGAAAACTCTGCGAGACCGTTTCAAGAAGGAGGAAAAGAAGGAAAAAATGACTGGGAAACCGGCCACATGGGTATTTCAGAAGCCGCTACGGTTCATTCAGACAGTACCGAAAGAGCGACCGTAAGTCAACTTTTAGTCTTCTTCTCTTCTCGAGGTGATTGCTCTACTGTAGAGTGCTCACCAAAAAGGAGGACATCAACCGTCGAAAATAAACTTCACACAGGCTTGATGAAATAAGTAGGATGAGTCAAGGGTCGGCAACCTATATGTCTCTTGCCATTTACCACACAAACACCTTTTTTCTTATGGATGCCGGACGCGTATATGAGGATCGCGGGACGGTGAGGCAGGACGTGCGTGCTTAAAGGAATCTTCCACGGAAAAAGCTCCGCCCTCATTACCACAGAAAACGATACCTTAAAGGAATCTTCCACGGAAAGAGTGATCATTTTGTCTTGTGTGTAGGATTAGTATTATCGAAACTAACGCTTATGTTCCGTTCTTTTTGCTATGCTCATGAGGCTAGGGGCCTAAGGGGTATCGTTTTTCTGTGGTAATGGAGGCGGAGCTTTTTCCGCGGAAGATTCCTTTAAGTGCTCCACATCCTTCTACGCTCCAGTGCTGTGTAATAAACTGTTACATTGAGGATTTGTGAATATTCTTTTCTCCTCTTGCCTAGTTTTTTGCTTCTCAGGAATGATCAGTGTACGTGAAAATCCCTCACAATCTGAAACAAAAGAAGATAGCTACCCAAATTTGAATTTGTTAACATGCGCTGTGCGCCTCTATAAATGGTGAATACAGTTAAAAAACGTGATATATCACAAGACGATTGAGTAGGCAATAAAGCGCTTCAGTGGGCCTAAATAGCCGCCCAGCGATTTCGCACTTCTTCCTGCTTTTGCAGTGGCAATGGGCCCTCTGACCGTCATCTCTTCGTCATAGTCGGACAAAGCTTTTAAGATTGCTTTTCATTTCAGACCCCGTTTGGGCAAAAGTGAATACCATTTATGCACACGCGAAGTTAGCGGTTTTTATGTTCATGCGGTTGTGGGTGCCCTTAAGTTTGAGGAACCCTCCCCCTCGTTCTCGTGGTCGCTGTAACGCCGAATCAGTGGGGCTACTTGAAAAGACGACAGTCAGCTGTAGACACCCACACGGGTTTCGAGTACACCTAGTGGGATTTCGCCTGTAAATAGCCAAGGTGCAATCTAAGTTGATCACGTTCCAGTTCTGATGATGGAACTATCAAAGATGAAGATAATGGACATATCTCACCAATGGAAACGGCGATTTCCTTCATCAAACAGGAGATGAACCGAGCAGCAGAAGCAGCAGCGGAGCCATCGACAAGCGACGTTCGTCGCGAACTCGCCATCGCTGACACCACTCTCGAACCAGGGTTTGTGCTTTCATAATCACAAAACTACGAAAACATGGCACACTCTTCCCTTTATTCATGCCGTAGTGCATTAGGCAATGATGCGATAAACCTGCGAAAAATCTGCTTTCTGAGTGTCAATAATGTTCCGCACTGTTTAGCCCATTTGGCAAACACTGTCATCTAGCCAGGGGATTGCACGCTGCAAAAAACAACTCTGCCGGTCGCAACGCGTACGCACGCAAGAGTGGCAGGAATTTTGAGCGGCGTCTAACGGAGCAATTGAGAATGATAGGACCTTATGAACGAATTTATCAGAGCGATTCGTTTCGCTTCTTCCT